CTGGGTTTACATTTTAAACTGGAAAACAAGACAAAAATGCTGATTCAGAAATGGATTTTTTGACGGTGTGGAGAGGAGTAAAGGGCTTTATGTACCTGCCAGCAAAACAGCGAGGGCGAGGACTATGAACCTCATCATGATCTGGGTCAAAAAGAACAAACAAACACATCAGACGTTGTTAATCACAATAAATACACAGGTTTTAGATTTCTACTCAAAGGGAAAGTGGACACGCAGCTAGTACTCGGGATAGTTTACCCTACAGCGCGTCAGCCTATTAGACTAGACTCTAACTCATCCCAGATTAGACAGAGTTACAAAGGCTTCAGAAGCAGATTAGCTCTCAGCCACTGCATAATCTCAAATCCCTGGATTAGCTTGGACACACTGGTGTGGACCTGGAGAACTTCGGTCTAAGCTGATGCTCTGTCAGATAGCTGAGGAGCAGAAAGCTGGCCGGAGCCATCGAGGGCTTACATATCTACAATGACTGATTTCATCAGCAAGGGCTCATCATTACTAAACAAAATTATTACTTTTGGTACGTTTAACAATAAAGATGAACTACCAAAACATTGAACACAGATCGCTGTTACATGTGTAATTTGATAAAAATTCATTTTTCTGCTAGCGGTCCATAACTCTCCAGTTGTTTCCAGATGAAACTCTATCCCGAGCGACGCTATACCGTCCGAGGCTGGGCTGCTTACCTGTTACTGTAGCTGGTCTGGGAAGAGACTGAAGGACAGGGCCAGAGACGGCTCTTTTATAGGGCCGAGCGCGAGGGGGCCCGTGTCTGGAGCTGAACCTCAACCCCTCACCGCAGAGCTCAAAGGTAGATTGAGGGAGTCAGCACACGCACACATGCTAGTTCACATATAAAACTGATCACCAAACCTCACAAACACATGGGTTCAGGTCAGTCACATCCTCATTTAACATGTCATATGTCTTTCTCTCAGTCACACAACTGAACATTGTACAATTGTTATTTCCATCAAATCTCACCCTTAGATATGACTTTTGTCGACATTGGTTAATTCAGTCATATTAATATAATGTTTTTGACTTGGATAAATCCAGTTAGATTTTGTCACATGAGGCACATTTTTAGGTGACCTGACAAAACAGTGTAGTCTTATCATTTGTTCTTTTATACACACTCACACACACACACACACACACACACACACACATATATATATATATATA